CCAAAAATGTAAATTTGTTATATTGTCACCTTAGTGCAAAAATTGATTAACTCATATTAAATTTAGAAGGACTTATTCCTTTACTGCACTCGCTAAGGTGATGACTAGTGAAAATGTTGAAGTCAGGATTACATGCACTTTTATTTTTGATTTGATGAAGATAGTCAGAGTTGCAAGTTTAAGAAGAGGGAACAAATTTAAATTAAATCATAGAAAGATGAAAATTGCTTGATGGACAAAAACGGTTGTAGAACAGTGTGTCAGTTAAACAGTGGTTTATGAAGAAAAATTCAAAACTTTGTTATCAAGAAAAACAAACTGCTGTGAATTTGATAATTGGATATATTAAGTTGTAAATTTGATAATGCAAGAAAAAAGCTGTAAATGTATATTATTAACAAGTTAGTAAAAGCTGCTGTAAAAAGAGATAGAGGCTGTTTTGAAGAAAGAGCGTGAAATATTAAACAGTTATTATAATAATTTGAAGTGGACTGATATGACACTACATTATACAAAATGTTCTATGTGTTTTGAGGAAATATTAAAAAAAGTTTGCCCTTATTATAACTTATTTGACGCACACATACCTTCAATTATTCCTAGATTATAAGATAGCAGGTTTGTCAACAAATTTGTCTATATGTATTGGTAAATTAACATTGACTTACTCAGTTGAGTTGGCCCGCAGCAGAATTTAATCTATTATTGGTTATTAAATTCTCAAAGTTTGTTGTCATTGAAATTAACGGGCACAGGGCAAATGTAAATTGCACACTTCCTGAAGTTGTTATTAGTAAAATTGCAACAGTCATAATGAATATTAGTGTTGTTTTCTCGGTGTTTTTAGTGAAAGTTTTCAGCAATGTTATATATATTGGATGTGTTTGGAGTTTAGTTGAATCTGTTGAAATAGTGACAGTTCCTCAACCGGAATGTTTATGTGGATGTTGCCTTACTGAAACAGATGATGTAAGAAAAACTGTTGTTTTTGTTTTTTGTTTTTATAGATACCTACTTGAAACTTGTAAACAACTTCTAGAAAAAAGAAAATAAATGTCTTATAATTTTAGGAAAATAACTGTTGTATTGTTTATAAGGAAAGTAATTGCAGAGTGATTTAGGTATATAAATAATTTAAATCACTGATGTGGGTTTAAATCCTGCAGAGACTTTGTGTTTCGTATGAAGAAGCTATCTTACTAGCTTGTATAATAAGGTTTGTGGTTCAACACTTGCTTAAAATTTAGTGATTTTACTCCCCAACAGTGAATAAAGATTGCATATGTTCATTAAATTATAGATGTGATTATAACCCAGCAATGTAATGGGAAAAAGTTTATAATATAAATAACCTAGAAGATTATGAAATATACAAGATATTGTGTGTGATAAGCTGAAGTAAATTTTATCTTACATTTCCTGGTACTTTAAGTGTATAAGATAATGGCCAGAACATGATGTACATAGATAAAGGCTTGTTGAAAGTTGATATCTATTTGTTGAGGCTAGATTTAACGGTATTCAAATTAAATATTTAAATTTGATATGTTGTGCAGACTTGCAACTGCAGATGATTTTAGGTATCGAAAAAAAGAAAGAAAAAGACAAAAACAATTTGTCCTTCACTTTAGATACTGACAAATATTTATTCTGCTCATTTGTTCTGAACATTAAAAATGAAAGTTCTATTGTTTAATTTAGATATTTTATTGATTCCTGAAATTTCAACAAAGAAAGAATATTTCTGTTTTTTACATTCCCAGTTATTGAATGTTTAAAAGAACAATTTGTAACATTATCTGCAGTCATTCACCTGTTCAGCAGAGTACATTACATTTTTTATTCATTGTTACTGTAATTTTTTTTTTCTGACAATAGGGCTTTGATCAATCACACAAGTTCATATTACAAGTTCATATTACTATTGGCATTGTCTGAACATCATATTTAGCGACCATAACACCTATACAATGTAGCTGTAGAAACTGCATTATTGTGAATTATATATAATGATGCAATAACATAATTCAAGTGTAAATGGTATTTCTCATTGGAAAATTAATGTCAGATGTAGATTAGTTTAGTATTAAAGGTTTGCAAGATGGACATCAAATTATCTTTGAATGTTTCATTTCATTGTTAAAAAGAGTTTTCTACCAAAACAAATTGACCAAAGTTAAAGTCTATTAATCAGTCAGTAAATTCAACCAATTAACTGTATATTTATAGATGGTGTCATATAGTTACAATATTCCATATTGAAATGTTTTGATGTATATGCCATACAACTGGTTGTTTGTTTTCTGGTTTTTACCCAGATTTTTGATACAGTTAGTATATATTAACATCTTTAAAGTTGAAGCTAAAGAAGAATCTGTGGCAATTAAAAGTGAGTAGGATGGGAATTATTTTGTATATGTCTGATTATATCACATATTCGTATTTAAGTTCATTATAATCTAGGAAATCCGAAAAGGCCTTGTATAGAAAAGTCTTATCAGAAATGTCTGTAGTCTAATTGGCTTCAGATAGTCAGATCTTTTTTACAAATCAAGGGTAGTTGAGTAAGACAAGCCTGTTGTGTTGGTTTCAGATAGTGAGATCTCCTTACAAATCAAGGGCAGTTAAGTTTGAAAAGGCTGTTGTGTTGTCTCCAGAAAGTCAGATCTCCTTACAAATCAAGGGCAGTTTAGTGTGATAAGGCTGTAGTGTTGTCTCCAGAAAGTCAGATCTCGTTACAAATCAAGGGCAGTTAAGTGTGACTAGACTGTTGTGTTGGTTTCAGATAGTGAGATCTCCTTACAAAGCAAGGGCAGTTAAGTGTGACTAGGCTGTATGTTGGCTTCCAGATATTGATATAATCCTTACAAATCAAAGGGTTACGTTTATGTGACAAAGTTGTGGTGGCGTTTAGGAAGTCAGATATTACAAATAAGGTAGTTTGATGACTAGGATACTAGTTTGTAGTGTTGCTCCAGATAGGGAAAATTCTCCATCACAAAGTCAAGTGTAGTAATGTTGACAAAAAACTGTTAATGTTTGCTCCAGATAGTGAGACCTCCTTACAAACAAGGGCGTTAGTTGACAGCTGTATGTGCTGCCTCTTACAAATCAGGGTAGTTAAGTGGACTAGTTAAAGTTGTTAGTGTATAAAAATAAAGCTAATGGCAATCCCATACGTCCAAATTTAAGGGTGTAAAAAGATGTAAAGAAAGAAATAATTTAATTATTTATTTGGTAAATCCATTTAGCTCCTAGCTAGAACCACTAATAGGTTGTCCCTATTATAAAAATACAGGTAATTTCATTAAAAATGTCAAGTTTAGCACCAGAGAGTTGTCATAAATTGTCAAACTGTTAGTTAATTTACAAATGAATATTTTCCTGAGATGTTTGAATCCAGGTTTTACTGGGCTTGTTGATTATCTTGAAAGAGAACATGCGATTGTTTACTGTTTCATTCTAAAATGATTCAACAAATGCAATAAGTAGATGGATTTCCTATTCTGTTTTAGAATTATTTAAGTATCACCTGGCATTGAAGCAATGTAAAAATTTTCCTGTTTACAAATTGAAGTCGTGTTTAATATAAGTTATTTTGTAGTATTTAACATCAGCTCTGTCCGTGGGAAGCTATCAAGGGCGAGTAAAGTCTATCTGGGCCCAACTTTTCTATTTAGACCCCCACTTATCACTGTTTTATTTAGGGTCCTAATTTATGACTGTTTTCTAATGCAGGCCTAACTTATGACTGTTCTATCAAGCGGCCTACTTATGATCTGTTACTATTCAGGGCCTACTTTATGACTGTTCTAATCAGGGCCTTACTTTATGACTGTTCTAATTCAGGGCCTACTGAAATCATTTACAGAGTTTCCTCCAGTAGTCTAAAAGTCTTAACATGATGTCAAATTAAATTTAAAAAGATAAACAGTTTTAGGTACAGGGAGTGTAACAAACTTGTTTAGTGCGACAATATTGCCTTATACATTATTTGGTTGTCTTAAATAATGAATTCAAACGGTGGTTCTTCCTCAGGTTCCCGTTCATGCCTGATTGCAAAAAGGCACCTGAGGTCTTCCCCTCCAGCCAGTAAAGCTGGAACATTGCCAAATGACCTATATCAATTTACCATGGAGAACATTTTACCTAAAATTTTATTGAATCAAAGTAATGTATAGGAAGTAAGTCAGCACAAAGAAAGTGAGGTAAAAGATTGGGAACAATTGAGTACATAGCTGATTGTCAAATCGTGTGGGATTGGTGAGAAATAGTCATTTAAGTGTTATTTAATTAGGAAAATTGATCTAGCTACAGATAGTTGTCTTTCACATAGTGCAAAACTGTTATAGCTCGGTAAGTTTGTTCTGGTGTAAGGTGTTGTTGGGTAATACAACATTGTTAAGTAAAAGATTAAAGTTAAAAACTATAATCATCTATTTAAAATTGATTGAAAGTGAAAAACAAGATTCTGTTAACTTTGTTTTGTTCAACATTGTTGACCAATTTTTTGTAATCAAGAAAACTGAAGTACTTATTTCATATGATGAACAGGTCCTGAACCCAATGTAGTGACTCTAAAACTTGAGCCTGTTAGTTGCGCAGGAGAAATAATTTTACCACAGTCAAGGTCACTGTTTTCTTTTAAACAACTAAGTAAATGAAGGTCAAAGTTTGTGTTACTTCCTGAAAGCCATATGTCGACTTTAATAGAGATCAATCAATCACTTGAAATAGATCATTTAACAATAGTATTCCTTATTGCAGAAACATTTAAAGATGTAATTATGTGTACTATTCTGCAACAATATATAAGTATAGGAATCACATCAATTTGTGATGTTGATGTTAAAGTGTATACATTACAATGAAAACTTAATAAAGCAATACCATTATTATAATTACCGGTATGTTGACTGCACATTGTATTATACAATCATTTTATGATTGTAAAAAAAATGTATGACTTCTATAAACAGATTTTTTATTTCTATTTTCAGGTTAAAGCTGGGCAAGTTTATAAATGAATATATATGGGTAAGATATAGATATTACATCAATTGAAAGCAGGCAAGTCCTTATAAATAATTATATATGGTTTTGATAGTATCAATAGTTAATGCTGCAGGTTTATAATGATTATATTGGGTAAGTTACATAGATATCAAGTCCAGGAAGCAGGCAAGCTTAATGATTATATAGGTGTGTTGATGATAGTTACAAATAGTTATGCTGGCAAGTTTATAGATGAAATATAAAGGGTAATTTATAATATTAGAATCAAATTGAATCAGGGCAAGCTTATATGATATATAGGTTTAATGAATAGCATCAATAGTTAAGCTGGGCAAGTTTTACAATGATTAATATACGGGTAGTTATAAAATTGATCGATCAAAGTGAAGCACGGGGCAAGCTATATATTAATAAGGTTTATGAAATAGTATCAAATAGTTAATGCTGGCAGTTTATAAATGATTATAATAGGGTAATTATTAATATACAATCAGTATGCAGGGCAATGCTTATAAATATATAGGGTTATAATAGTATAATAGTTAATCTGGCAAGTTTAATAATGAATGATAAGGAGTTATAAATATACTCAATAAGCCATGGCAGGTATAGAATATATGTGTGATCATAGTAAGCGCAAGTCTTATAAGATAAAAGGGTAGTTTATAATATAGCATCATATAATCTGTCTATATATATATATATTAGGTAAGATTTATAATAATGTATGTGATCATAGTTGAAGCAGGCAGCTTATAATGGATTTATATAGTTGAGTATATGATAAGCAGGACAAGTTTATTAATGTTATTTAGGTTTTAAAGGGTATGTTAGGGTATGTTATTAATATGTCATCAGTTGATGCTGGGCAAATGTTTATAATGCCTATATATTGTATTAGGGTAAGTTATGAATAGTCATCACGTAATGCTGGACATTTATAATGATTATATAGGGTTAAGTTATCGATATTATGCATGAAGTGAAGCAGGGCAAGCTTATTAATGATAGGTTGATTTAATTGTATCAGTCAAGATAAAGTCAGGGCAAAGCTTAAATGATTATATAGCTCGATTATAAAAATGTATCATCAAGAAATAAACAGGGCAAGTTTATAATGATTATTTAGGTATGTTTATATGATAGTAATCACAGTTAATGCTGGTCAAAGTTTATAATGATTATATAGTAAGTTTATATTATCATAAGTGAAGCAGGGCAATGCTATGAAGGATATATAGGTTGAGTTATAATTGTATCATTCAATGATAAAGGCAGCAAGTTTATACATTGATTATTGTAGGGTAATGTTAATAATAGTACACAATTAATGGCTGGGTCAAGTTTAATAATCTTATACATGTATTAGGGTAAGTAATGAAAGTAATCATCAAGTTAATGCTGGCAAGTGTTTAATTTATCGATAACTAGGCTAAGTAATGAAGTTCATCATGGCATCAGCATGCTGGCAATTCAAAATTAAAAGATGACAAACTAATCCATGAATTGTTGAATAATAACAAGGGTCAAAATACCTTACCAAATTAAGATGAAAGGAACTCGTGCATAGTTTGAACATTAACCTCTCTCTATAAAATAAAACACTGTCCAGTCAAATTTTTGATAATATTACATAATGTTTGTTGTACAAGTTCTGTCTAGTTATTTTATGATGTATATGCGGTAACTATCTGTAACAAGATATATCTTGATAAAAACCTCACAAAAACATTTAAAATTGTAGAGTAGCAGTGATCCAAAACTTTTATATATCAATAATTGGAAAAACAATTTTTTGAAGCTCTTCATGTGCAAACAAGGTTATTGGGTAATGGTTTCTGATAACACAAATAGATAAACAAGTTTCAGGGTTTGTTATTGAATCCTAGAGCATTGACTTAAATTGTGTTGTCTTTGCCCATGTACATTGTATATAAACATATTAATGCAGAAATTTTGCAGCTAAAAACAGAAATACAGTAGTCTAAATTGGGAAGAATGCACATTATGCCTCATGAAAAAAATAATTTTTCTTTCTTCTTAAAGAAAAAAAATGAATTTTATAACATTTAAATAATGATTTTAGAGTATGTTATATGCCTTTTACTTGAAAAAAGTAACACTTAATGATTTGAGATAATGTGTCATGAGGTAGCAAAATGTAAAACAAAGTTGTATTAAGATTTCCATACAAAATACTAAATCACTATTACTGAAATAATTGGGGAAAATCCAGCAGAATGAAAAAAAAATGTTCTGGTAATTGGCCAAGGGGCAACTTATTAATTAATAATAATAATATACACCAAAAAAAAAGCTTTTTTAGAAATAAGAATAAAACCTTTAAGGGCATGAACCATTTATATGTGTATATTTTATAACATAGAGGTCAATGTGTCCAAGCAGTAGTAGTATGCTTTATTGAATTTTAAAAAATTAATTGAATTTTAGTTTAAAATGCAGTGAGGGGGAAACAAAAATATTGGCAGATGCCACAAATTTTTGTAATTGTTCTTAAATAAATTTTGTTCTTTATTTTTGAAAACTATTTTGAATTAAATTTTTTTACAAGCATTGAGTATTGATGAAACTGCTAAGTACCTGGACTTCACCATAATGTAAGCCTTTAGGCATATAAAAGAGAAAAGTTAGACTTAAAAGGACTACTTTAAATATTCAAATGTGGTGTTTAATTGCTGTCATTATCTAGTTCCATGAACATAGTACTAATTGAAATAGTGAATTTGTAGAATCTGCATAAAAAATCACAGTAAGTGTACTTACTTAACTTTCTTAACTTTGAGTTCTTATTGTTCAAACATAGTTTGTTTTTAAGCAAAGAAAACGTCTTTCTGTATTTGATTTTAAACATAATGATTATTTTTGTCTTAATGTCTCAAAAAGAATATGCAACGTGGTGAATGTAAAGAAATTTAGAGAATTGAGTATTGATTGTTTAAACCCCTTGCCGTAATTCTGTGGTAAGAGTACTTTGTTGTCTGATTTGTTATTTTATATATAGATGTCCAATGTTAGAATTAGTATATATATATTGATTATAACTATGTTTTCAATGATAATCTTATTGTACATATTGTAACACATGATGAATGTAGATTAAAAGGATATTTTATTCATGAGTCTCTACATAGAGTTGATCTGTTTTTGGTGGTTTCTTGCCCCATTTTCTTACAGGAGGCATTAATTGTTTTATTCTATTTACTCTCATCAAATGAACTAGCTTGTCATGTGTATTGATTGGGCTTGCAAATCTGTTAACACTGAGAAAGTGATTCCCGTAACGCATAAAGAATCCCCAACGATGCTGTACCGAACACACAGAGTATCTCTTAATTAGGTGTCTATTATTTCTAGGAGACGAAAAACGTGACGCGAGTAATTGTCCATGTAGTAATTGTCTCATGCGGCTATCTACTTAGTGTCCATCTTTAAAGGTTTTTTTCTCTGCCATGTTATGTAAATGTCATCAATTTATGTTCGTGGTCACTTGTTTACAGTAATGCTAGCATACTATGGTGATCTGTCCTATAATACTAGTTTACTTCTCATTAATTTAAAACAAACTAAAAAAAAAAGGTTTTAAAAGATGTTTTTACCTTTTTCATTTAGATATTGGCAAGCAACTAAACCCTAACCACTAATGATATGAATTAGCAAAGATTTGGTTTTTCTTAGTAGTGCATCATTTTATAAATTATAAATAAAAGTAAAAAGTCATATTATTTAAAAAAGGGAAAAAATATATAATAATTAAGCTGCATTTTCATTTATACAAAAAACTTT